GGCTTCCTGTCTTTTACTCCCCTTTCTTCTGCTCTTCTGGCCTGCTACTCTGGGCGTACCTGAGTTTCCCCTCCTCACCTAATCCCTTCGGCTGTTTGCTCTTCTCTTTGGCTTCCTGGGTTTTACCCCTTTCTCTTGCTCTTCCGGCCTGCTACTCTGTGCTACGCCCGTGCTTACCTTGCGCCCGGAGACCCGGTCCCTCTCGGGAGGGTACAAGGGAAAGTGTTCACTGCAGATCAGTGAGTAAGCACTTAAGAAGTTGATAGAGCCTTTTAAATCTTGGCCAAAAAGGGATTTTGTTATTAATAAGATACTTTAAAAATGGAATGCAGATTCATTTACAAACTTTTATTAGTCTTCTCCTCCAAGTGTCAAAAATGTCACTTTTATATTTTTCAATTTATGTGATGCATGCTGCCTTAGTACCTACAAGTATAACAGAAAAATGCAAACCTAAACTAATCAAAAGCTTCCCATGCTGATGAGCATAAAACTGTTTGATAGCTTCCTTCTTAGTGGTTTATAGCCTAATAATACAGTGGTACAAGTATTTTTTCTATTGACTTAATTTGAAACCTCATTAAAAAATTCTTATTTTTCTCAGAATTTTAAAATTATTTTTAACATGAGTATTACTGAAAGGACTTAGTATAGATACTATTTTTAACATAGAAATGTGATTAGTTTTTTACTGACACAATCTTTCCTTGATATAATCTTGGTTATGCTTTCATGACTGCATATTATAATCAGTCACTTTAAGTATAAGAACAACTTTGTAACATCAGTTAAGTATATATAGTGGTTAGGAGCACAGTCCTGGGTTTGAATCACAGGTCTATTCCTTGATGTCTCTGTACCTGAGATAAATTATTTAACTTCACTCTGTCTCAATTCCCTCTATTGTAGTGTTGTTGTTGTTGTTGTTATGTGCCGTCGAGTCAGCCCTGACTCATAGCGACCCCTCCTTGGGTTTCTGAGGCAGTATCACTACGGAAGTAGGATTGCCCAACCTTCCTTCCGGGACAGTAAATTCCACCATATAAGGTAGTGCTCTGGTAGCATAGTGGCTAAAGCACTTGACTGCTAACCAGAAGGCTGGCGGTTCAAACCCACCAGCCACTCCTCGGAAGGAAGGTTGGGCAATCCTACTTCCGTAGTGATACTGCCTCGGAAACCCAAGGAGGGGTCGCTATGAGTCGGGGCTGACTCGACGGCACATAACAACAACAACAACAATTGTGCACTTTAAGGTATATAATTTATTCAGAGTACCTTAAACAAAGCACAGTGCTTGGAATGTGGTGATACTGCTGTTTTCCATTTTGACAGCATAAGAAGTGTCTGTATTTTTAGTAGCCATTAACTGAAATATCCATAGACTCTTTGTCCCACGTTAGGAACCATGGTGTGAAATGCAACTCAAGAAATTTTGATTGGTTTAGTTGCCTGAAATGGTCCAAACTAAATTTCCTAGTTCAAGATTCTTTTTTGAGAAAAACACATTTAATTTTTTTTATTACTCTTCACACCAAAAGGTTTAACTGTTTAAATAATAGTAATAATAATAATAAAAATAATAGAATGCCTCTGCGATATCTTCCTACTTTGGAGTATAAATAAGAGGATATAACATAACTATTTATGTTGAATGGTACAGTCTGGAGAGACGAAAACCAGATCTGCCATTATGTTTGTGTGTGTGTGTCTTAATCAGGAAGCTAATAATTGGAAATCTCAAATACATATGCTAGAGACACTAGTAGTGCTTCTGTGCTAGTGTTCTCACCTTCAGTGAGGAAGGTCTGGGTTTGATTCCCAGGCAATCTCCAAGTGTAGCAATTACTCATCTGTCATTGGAGACCTATGTATTGCTATGATGTTGAACAAATTTCAGTGGAGTTTCTAGACTAAGATTAACTGAAAATCAGCCAGTGAAAACTTTATGCACCATAACAGTCCAATCCTGTTGTGCATGGGATCAATATGAATTGAGGGTTGACTCAGCAGTAGCTAACAACAACAAAAAGCCCTTCATCACTAGCTTTTATAATTATCATTATAGGCATATTATTTTACATATATCCCATCTACTGCTCCCCACCCACAATTTTTTTAAGCAAATCTTATACACCTAATTAAAAAAAAACAAACTCACTGCCATCGAGTCAATTCCAACTGATAGCAACCCCCTTTGGTTTCTGAGGTGGTGAATCTTCACGGAAGTAGATTGCCCAGTCTTCCTTTTGCAGAGTGGTTGGTGGGTTTGCAATGTCTTAGGCATTACACCATCAGAGCTCGCTCTTATACACCTGTTGTTGTTATGTGTCATCAAGTTGGCCCTGACTCATAGCAACCCCTCCTTGGGTTGCCGAGGCAGTATCACTACAGAAGTAGATTGCCCAACCTTCCTTCCTACTCCTCACTTATTAAGGTCTGTAATTCAAACTCACCAGCTACTCCATAGAAGAAAAATGAGGCAGTCTGCTTCTGTAAAGATTTACAGCCTTGGAAAACCCATTGGGGATTGCTATGAAATGTAATCAACTTGATGGCAATGAGTTTGGTTTTGCTTCTCATTTATTGACTATCTTGTTATCTGACATTTTGCATTAATGACAATAGTAAAAAAACAAACAAACAAAAAAGCCTGTTTTGCATATTAATGATCTGCTTCTGGCAGTGAAGGATGCTGAGTTGCAAGGTGAGAGTAACTCTGTCTGTGATGGTTAAGGTTATGAGTGAATTTGGATGGGCCATTATTCTGTGGTTTGCCAGTTTTGAAGTGATGAAATCTGGCAGTTATGTAATGATGTAGTCATCTTCTATTTTTGCATAATGCTGATTTTCATGTAATGACCTGGTCTTTGGAAGCTAACCTTGATAGATGAGAAGTGGATATACTTCTTATCATTTCCTCTGTAAATGTTTCAATTTGCATTTCTGAAACATAGGGACTCTTGTTTTCTACAAAACCACAGTACCGTGACCACATTTTAATCCAACTAGCCAACTGCTGTCAAGTTGATTCCGACTCATGGTGACCTCTTGTGTGTTAGAGTAAAACTGTGCCCTATAGGGTTTTCAAGGTTTTTTACAAGTAGATCACCACGCCTTTCTTTCAGGTGCCTCTGTGTGGACCTGAATGACCAACATTTCAGTTTCATCTTAACTGTTACACCACCCAGGGACTTCTGTCACAGTTCAAAACATAATACTCTCTTAGTATCATCGAATATTATTGTTCAAACTTTGAGTTGTCTCTTAATTGTCGTAATTGTTATAAGTTTGTCTATTTGAGTCAATATCCAGATAAAATATCCACATTGGGATTCTCTGGTGTATCCATTAAGACTCCTTTAATGTTTCCCTATTATTTTTTACTCAAAATTTATTTGGTGAATAAATGAGGTCATTTGTAAGGTTTTCCATGGACTGGATTTTGCTTTGTGCTTTAACATACACTCCTTACCCCATTTTACCTGTAAAATTATGGTAGTTAAAATTTAGGGGGTTGACACATTTAGTTTTGATTTGGTTTGGGGCCAAGATGGTAATGAGGCTCCACCAGGGGGCTAATAATGTCTCCCTGATTTCTTTCTTTTTGGTGATGTAGTCAGCCACAGAAGTTCAATGCTTAGATCCACAAATTCATTAGATATTACAAAATGCTGATATTCTAACTCTAACATCCCTTCTTCATTTATTAGTTATAATATTCTGTAAAGAGAAACTTCTGATCCATAATTTAGGTAGCCTAATGTTTTGGTTGATCTGCTAACCCATGAAAACAGTCCATAGATTTTCAAGTCCTAATATTTTCAAGTATCTGTTCAACTTTATGCTCATTATAGTTCAGATATGGTGATTGAGATATGTATATATATCTATATGCCAAAAGCCATAAATACTTAGAAATCTACATAAATAAAATTCCTAAAGTTTATACCAGCTTTATAAATTACAAAGTGTCTGTGAATTTTAACATTTTTTTTTTTACTACTAATCTCTCATTTAAGTTTTGTTTGTAATATGTTATTTCTATAAAATGTTAATTAAAAGGGAATGCAGTGGTGTCTTTTGAAAGAAGAGGATGTCATTCCCCGGATCAGGGCAATGGAAGGTCGTAGAGGAAGACCACCAAATCCAGATAGACAGCGAGCAAGAGAGGAATCCAGAATGAGACGGCGAAAGGGTCGACCTCCAAATGTTGGCAGTGCTGAATTCTTAGATAACACAGATGCCAAATTGCTACGAAAACTGCAAGCTCAAGGTAAGAAACGTGTGACACTATAACGATTATAGCTTCTAAGGTAAGTATTTCTTATATTTTTTATTTATGAATAATTGACACTGCTTTCAGTTTCTAAAAAAGTAGATATTTGTGTTAGAATAAAAGTGAGAAATTAAGTATTCCCACTGGTAACTGGAATTCTTTGATTAGGTAATGCCCTTTCAAGAGCTATACTCATAAGCATATCCTCCCCTGTGTGTTTAGAATTACAAAGGTGGGTATAATGGATTGAATTATATCCATCAAAAATATGCGTTGTAAATCCTAACCTCTGTGCCTGTGATTATAATCCCATTAGGGAATGGATTGTCTTTGCTAGGATTAGTGTAGGGTCTGTCTTGAGTCGGTCTCTTTTGAGATATAAAAGAGATTAAAAGCAAGCTAGCAAAGAGAGAGGGGGAAGAGAAATGCAAAGAAACCACGTGAAGATTGCCCAGAAGCAGAAATAGGGACATTCCTCCAGGACCAACAGAGAAAGCTTTCCCCTAGAACTTATGCTCTGAATTCAGACTTCTAGCCTCCTAAACTGTGAGAAAATAAATTTCTGTTTGTTAAAACCATCCACTTGTGGTGTTTCTATTATAGCAACACTAGATAGCTAAGAATTGGGTACTGGCAATGAAGTATTGCTTTCACAGATATCTAAAACGTAGAAGTGGTTTTAGAACTGGGGAATGGCTAGAGGTTGGAATGTTTTAAAGTGCCTGACAGTAAAGGCCTAAATTGCTTTGAAGAGATTGTTTACAGGATTATGGACATCAAAGGCAATTTGGTGAGGGCTCAGAAAGAAGTAAAGAGAGTTGTAGAAAAAGTCTCTACCATCTTAGAGAATACATACGATACCAACAACAGAATGTTGCTAGCATTGGGGATATTAAATGTATTTCTGTGATGCTTTAAATAATATTATTAACGTGATTGGACAATGGAGGAAGGGTAGTGCTTTTTTTACAGTGGCAAAGAACTTGTCTGAATTATGTTCAGATGCTTGGTGGAAGGTAGAACTTGTAAGTGATAAACTTGGATATATGACTAAACTTTGTTGTTGTTGTTGTTGTTGTGCCAGTATACTTTAATGTTCCCCAAGAGTATGGACCTGAGCCCCCATGCCTAGTGACTCATTCCCTCAAAGTGTTTTGACTAAGAAGTTTTCATAGCTTTGCCTCTTGCGTACTCTGCCATATTCATGGATATATTTGCAGCACATATAAATACATATGTAGAGATATCCTCTGTCAAACCTCTGTTCATGGGGTTAGTCCCATTCCCACCTTCTCACCTCTATTCAGCTTGAATGTCAGCCTATGTTTCCACTTGCAGTTTATTATTACTGTTACCATTGGATTCTGTATGTAATAGTATTCACCTTTGTTGACTTCTGTGCTTGTGCTCCTTTCTGCATCTTACATTGCCTTGATCACTTTGCGCTGACCTTCTCGTATTGTATATTGCCTTCCCTTCAACGAACTTAATACTTGTCTACCCTCTGGTTAGTGACTTACTCTTTTTTCCTCACCCACCCCTGGAAACCTTCAAAGAATTCTTTCTGTGTGTAACCTTTTCTTGACTTTTTGCAGTAGTGGTCTCATATGATATTTGTCCTTTTGTGATTGACTGATTTCACTCAGCATAATATCCTTTAGATGAATCCATGTTACGTGGTATTTCTCAGATTCATCATTATTCTTTAACATTGTGAAGTATTCCATTGTGTGTATGTACCATAGTTGTTTATCCATTGATCTGTTGATGGGCACTTAGGTTGTTTCTATCTTTTTGCTACTGTGAATAATGCTATGATGAACTTGGATGTGTATATATCTGTTTATGTCATGGCTCTTATTTCCCTAGTGGTGGTATTGCTGGATGAGATGGTATTTTTATTTCCAACTTTTAAAAAAAGTACCATACCACTTTCCACACTGGTCACACCATTTTACAGTCCCACCAGCAATGCATGAGGGTTCCATTTTCTCCATACCTTCACCAGTGTTTGTTGTTTCTTTCTTTTTGAACTTTGCTGTTAATGCTGAGATGAGATGATACCTTGTTTTGCTTTGCATCTTTCTAGTGGCTAATAATCTCAAGCATTTCTTCATGTGTTAGCTACCTTAATATCTTCTTTGGTGAATTATCTTTTCACATTTTCTGCCCATTTATTAATTGGAGTTTTTTTGGGTTTTTATTGTTGAGGTTTTGTCCTCTGCCTATATTTTAATTATATTGTTTTTTTTGCTATTGAGGGTTTGAAGTTTTCTATAAATTTTAGAGATTAGTCCCTTGTCCGATATATCATGGCCAAAAGTTTTTTCCCAGTGTGTATGTTCTCTTTTTACTCTTTTGGCAAAGTCCTTTAATTCACTTCCAAGTTTAATTTTTAGTTAAACCCAGTTGTTTAGTTTGCCTTCTGCTGATTTCTAACCAAGCTCTTAAAAGGACCACATAGTTTTTCCTTACCACTTTTAGTAAAATGTGACAGCAAAGAGATGGACTTAAACATAAACTGGGCGAAATGCAAACAAAACTTAAAGATTTGGAAAATTCTTTTGTACAAACTAAGGACATGTGTCCTAGAATTTGCACCAAGGATGAGGCTATACAATCTTTAATTAAAGAGATTAAGCCTGTGACTGTTTGATCTAACCAATTCCCACAGCAGAAGAAGCATCAGCTTTGACAGAAGGAGTGAGAGAAAGAGAGAACACTGTCTGCCTCTTGGAATTCTGTAGGCAGGAAACAGGCTGAAGGAGCTACATCTTTGTTCCTCCAAGAAAAGAAAAGATCCATCCCTGGTGCAGCTCGGACATCAACAGAACTGTTGGAAGGAGGATGGGAAGCAGAGCTACCTAGGTCTTGAAGGGTGGGCCCCTGGCTTCTGGGGTTTTAGAAGGTAGGGCCATGCACTCCTGGATCTCATAAGGTTCAGCCACAGCTTCCTAGAATTCAAGTAGTCAGATATTTGCTAACTCAGTACTAGAATGTGGGCTCCCTTTAAGGTGTGGCAGAGGGATGGGCCACTGCCCAAAGCTGAGGGGTCAGGGTTGCCATGACCAAGTGGCAAAACCACGGAGCCTGCTAGGGCCTAGGAGTGGGGTTGCCACTCAGTTGGACTAGGAGAATGGGACCAACCAAACGCAAGGGAGGAGAGTTACTGTCTCAGTGGGCCTGGAAGGTGGAGCTGAAGCCCAGGGCTGAGGGGCCTCCAACCTAATCCAGAGAGCATGGCCAACATCTAGAGTCTGGAAGGCAGGGTCATTGCCTGGATAGTCTCGGGGAGCAGAGGATTGTTTTTAAGCCTTGAGAGCTATCATAAATGATTCTGCTGGGTTTTATATTTGCTTAGTGCCTATTATCCCATCTTTCTCTCTAATCTCTCCCATTTTTAATGCAAATATCTACCGTGTATCTGTTCCACCAAATGATAACTTGTAGTCTAGATTTCAGTGTTTCACAGCTGAAGAGGCATTTTGCCCCTGGATGGGATACACCTAAAGTCTCACCTATATATGATTTAGATGCTTCAGATGATGCAGTTTTGAACCTGGGCTTCATTTAAGACTTTTGGGATGATGTGATGGGGTGAATGTATTTGCATGGGGCAAGGACATAAGTTTTCAGAGGCCAAAGGGTGAAATATTATGGATTTACTTATGTTCCCCAAAAATATGTGTTGTAATCCCTAAGTCTATTACTGTGGTTATATTTCAGAATTGTCTTTGTTATAGTAATGAGGCAGGAGTAATGTAGAGTGTATCTTGAGATGGTCTCTTTTGAGATATAAAAGAGATTAAACACAAGCTAACATAGGGAGAGAGAAATGGCAGGATGGCACATCAACAGTTCAGAAGAGACAAGGACCCTCCTTCAGACCCTAAGAAGAAAAAAAGCATTCACCTACAGCCAGTGACTAAATTTAGACTTTTAGCCTTCTAAACGGCAAGAAAATAAATTTCTGTTGGTTAAAGCCATCCGCTTGTGGTATTTCTGTTATAGTAACTCTAGATAACAAAGACAGTAAGTGTTCAGCTTTTAAGGCTTGCACAGAAGGGGAATCAACCAGCACTTGGCACATGCCTTAAGGTTGTGCCAACCTTCTGGAAATTCTCATTTAACAGCTCCCGGTTCCTTGAGGTGGTACATGGGAATAAATCCAAAATATGTGGATCTGTGGAGTAAATTTTCAGTCAGGGAATTCCAATTCCTGGTAAGTAACCCCAGTCTTTTAGTTTGGGAAGTTCTGTAGTCTGGATATATTATATATATTTTCAAAATGCCCAACTAACAGATTTAATATAAAAGTATTTTAAAATAGAAACTCACTTATCAAACTTAAAAGTGTCTTTAATAACTTAACATATATTTATGATTCAAAATTACATATATCAATTTCTGTTTTGGGTGATGAAAATGTTTTGGAAACAAATAGTGGTAATGATTACACAACATTGTGTGATTAATGCCACTGGATTGTTTACTTGAAAATGGTTTAAATGGCAAATTTTTTGTTGTGTATATTTTACTAAAGTAAAAATATTATATAGTTTAATATATATCTCAAGATAAAACTTCCCATGTTGTGTCTGACACAGAGAATGCTGTTCTCCTATACAGTTTGAGTTACTAGTTACAAATACAAAGCCTACTCTCTGTAGATAACATATCAATATATGTGTAGGTGTGTTATATTTACAAGCATATATGTAAGCATACATCAATGTAAAATAAAGCTTTAATAATAAAAATTGACTTAGAAGACTAATAGGATTTTATTTCTTCTTACGGATTTTTTCTGTCCCTATGAATAAAACCAAAATCTGGAGGAAATGCCTAAGAGATTTATCTCTATTTATTGTAAACACCATCAAAATATTGACTTCTTTATTTTTATTATGCAAAAAATACATAAAACAAATGCTCGTAGAACAGAATGTTTTAAAATAAAAAACATTCTTATTCTCACTCGCCAGTAGAAAAATTGA